TTAAAAGGAGATTATATGTGTGTTCTCTTCTAGTCTGGCAATCTAAAATATAAACCTCAAGCTAAGAAAAGCGCCCTAAGTGAGAAGCAGACCATCTCTCTATGCAAATTGCTGTTGAAATTGCTGTAGTATTTGTTTTGATCCTGCATTTCCAATAGAGCTAATATGGAAGAGGAGAAGGGACATCACTGTGGCTACATCTCCACTGCTGTACATACAATTCATCACTGGTGCAGCAACAGAATCATAGAATTGTAGGACTGGAAGAGCCCTCATGAGGTCATCTTGTCCAGTCCCAAACACTCATAGTAGGACTCAGTATTAGCTAGACCAGATATTCTCAAACTTCATTGCAGCACAACCCCCCTTCTGACAAAAATTATTACACAGCTCCAGGAGGGGGGATCGAAGGATGAGCCCGCCTGAGCCCCTCCACTTCAGGTGGGTGGGGGCAAAAGCCCCAGAGCTTCAGCCCCAGGCAGGAAACCTGCCACCCAGGACTGAAACACCGGGGTTTCTGCTTCAGCCCCAAGTGGTGGGGCTCTGGCTTCGATCTTGGGCCCCAGCAGGTCTGTCCATCCTGGTGCCCCCTTTCAGATAGGATGAAGACCCACTTGGAGGTCTGGACCCATGGTTTGAGAATCACTGATGTAGACCATCCCTGACTAGTGAGTGTTTATTTAACCTGCTGTTAAAAATCTCCAGTGGAGCAGTGCTCGTAGACAGGGCTCCCAGTTTTTCCAATACCATAATGCTGAATCTATCCTCTGACCAAGGGCATTGTGCTACAGCTTTACTGATCTGTGCTAGAACTTCCACAGTGGCAGACACAGCATTGCTAGTAAGTGGGTACAACATATTCTAGCATGGCTGCACCCTGTGCTACTTACACTGAGCACCAGTGTCAGGGCAGGAGGGATACTGAACACATGTATATTACTGTGATAGTAGCACTGTTAGTTGAACTAGAGTACCATGACTCTAAAACAGTGTTTCCCAATTGGGGAGGGGGATGTTCCCTTGACAAATTGCGCAGTGGGTTGTTGTTTTTTTTCCCTCGACAAATTTTACCCTGGCAGCTCTAGGGGTTCTTTGAAATTCTTTCAAACTGAAAAGGGTTCAGTGGCCAAATAAAATTGGGAGATACTGCTCTAAAAACATGTTCCGTCGCTTTGCTCCCTGTCCCCCTGGTCTGCAAACCAGGGGAACGGGGAGCAAAGCAGAGCAAAGCTCCGGAGCACGCGGGCAGCGGACAGCCCAGACGCGTCTGGGCTGTCCCGCTGCCCCCGTGCTCCGTGGCTTTGCTCCAGCCACCTGTGGTACAGCAGCGGGGGCGCGGCCCGCTCGTC